TACCAGATCAGGATAGTTTCATTAAATTTCAAACTACCGGGCAGATTTTAAAACTGGCCAGTGCAGTAGTAATAATACAATATTGGTGAGATATCACGTAACAGACTGATATTACCTGTATTCATAATAGTTTTACTATTGCCGGACATAGATTTTTTCTCAATCTTTCTAAGACGTAAAATAAAATAAAACAAAACAAATCCTACACAATCGGCTAGCAGATTTTTGAGGTATTTGGTTTACTGGAATGTTCATCGTAGAAAAGTAATCCTTCAATCTCTAGCCATGTATATATTTGATGTTAAACTTGAAATCCATAAAAAATACATTTAACTGAAATACAAATTCACATAAATATTAGTTTTATTGCAGTAATATGCAGCGCTTTAATTCAACTGTTTAAACACAAAACAAATACGATAAATATTAAACAATCTTTGTACTACTAAATGTGAGGGCGTTTTCGACACTGACATTTGCGACGTTTAAAGTAGTTATAACTTAGATGCTAAAAGCCAGACGCCTACAGAGGTGACGCATTTCATGATCATTAACGATGATGTCACGCAAAGACATTCCACGTTCAGTGTCAAATTGTTCTAAACAAACACGTCATTTCAACTTTATCTCGGCGAATGTCGCTCTCTTTCCTCCATTTCATTCCGTAGTTATGATAGCTCAACCAACTGAGTCGTGTTTCTGGTTTAATTAACTTCACTGCTCCCGGTTTCCCCCACTTTCACGATAGTATTGTTCTTTTCCTCACTACTCAATTTGCCTTTCTGCCCATGAAATGTTGAACTACTGCAACCCTAGCATATCCAGCCCTATCTTCACTATCTCTCTGCTACCTCCCCTGGGAGAACTGTGCTCTGTTGCCACATACCGCTCTAATATACTTTTTAACGTAACCCCGACTGTCGATTGCTTTGAAATATTAAATATCAATTTTGCTGCGGCGTATCAGTACGTGGTGTATGATAGGATACCGATAATATCTAGTTAGCTTATCTTCGTCTTCATCGCCGATTTGCTGTCTCACTCCTACAACGTGGACCTTTTCCCATCTATCCACAATTCAATTTCCCCAAGCCGAGTTTTAATCGAACAGGGGATAGTGGACCTAGTAAGGACTGTTTTTTTAATGGTTTGCCTGACGTTTGTTGTCATCCCATTCTCTTTCCTCTAACTACAGCCCCAGGATAACGCAACCAACTCAGAAATTTGAGTCTGTTGTTGAAATAGCTATCTCCTATTTTCCCACCGGTGAAATAGTCAGACGCACGGAATAGGCGAGATGTCGCTTCACGCATCAATGCCACTTGTTTTCGGAACAAAAATAGTAGCAGTAACAGGCGTGCGATGATGGTGTGTGTGGTGCACCGGCTCACCTCCATGGTTACGCGCCCCTCACTGCAAATATGCGGTGTCTGGTATTAGCAGAGAGAATATCCATAAGTTGGCATGGAAAGTGACTCTGTATTCGGGGCAGAGTGTACATAGCCAATTGCGTAGCTTTCACAACATGCTTTGTGCCAATGAATTGTCTCAAAGTATAGAATTGAGGTGGCTAGATTTTGGTCCTATTCTCTGGGCCGGTGTGTTTGAAAAGCCTCAAAGAAACAAAACCAGTTTCATCACATTAATTTAGGCATTCACTGATCCTGGAACATAGTTAACTTATCAATTCACTTCCAACAATGATATAGCATCCAAAATCTTGACTTTCGTTTCTCTTCTTTTTTGTTCTTTTCTCTTTTTTTCGTGATCGTGCAGGCAACATTTTCGGTATAATTTACGGGCATATTATCCGTAATAACAGATTAAAAATCAGCACCCCACGAGCCCGTGAGTTTGCGACGATTCGAGTTTGTTGCATCGGGTAAGCCTGGTGTACAATGATTAATGACCCACTGGCAGCACAGAAACGTGCGACGCAGCGCCAAAACGCCAACCCTAATAGCAGTATTAGCTGAAAGACAAAAGAGTCGATTCCCGGTTGTAAACCCAGCAATATTGAATGGGGGGTCCGCCGTATAATTCTTCTCAGCATATCGCCTCTGGGCAAGAGAAACATTGGGGAAAGGGGATAAAAGGGGTAATAACATCCAGCGATGTGTGTGCATTGTGGAGCTGCTCCCACGAGGGCTGCTCGGGCCTCAACTGACGCGTGCCGACCGGTTCGTTTTTTCTCTCGGCGTGGCCTTTAATTGCGTTTCAACCCTGTCGATGTCGGTGCACGGTAATGAATACAGCTACACGCAGCGATCGTACAAACCGACGACAGTGAGCGGCAGTGGCGGTTTGAAGTTGGTGGGAAATATAATTTTTTTGATAGTGGGCGTTGCGTTACTTTTTTTATTTCTTCGCCCGTCACGGTACTACAGACTGGTCACACATGCGAAGAATAGATTCGATTTGACCAACCATACGTGGATGAGTGATCTGGAACACGGAAAGCACGTAGCGAGCATTCAGCTACACCACACAGACCCGTATAAGCCAAATTACCACAGGTGACCAACGACGACTATGAAATTTGATTCCGGCCATTACAATAAATGTTCTTCAAGAGATCCACACGTAAACAATGCCGCAAACCAATTCTGTCACCGCTTCCCATTTCACGGTACCCGTATAAAAAGTGTCAAATGCACGTGCATTTTTTTCCCATCAAACATGTGAATTGCTTTGCGACTGAGTAATACACATATGCACGAGAACATCTTGTTAGCGAAATTAGAAGTAGATGGCGTGCTACTAGAAAATATTCTATGCATGGACTGGTACGCCTCGTGCATTGAACTCCAAGACGTCAATTCGATTTGATAAGTACATGTACGTGAAGTTGACTATTTTAATACTGCATTATACATTACTATTGAGGGCGAAGTTCGATTACGTAACTGCTATCAGCGATGACCCCAACACACTCTCTAAGGATCAGCTCACTAATAATTCAACTTGAACGAAAAGCCGGCATTTCACTACATGACGACATCCTTGCGTGCGTAATTTGGAGTGATATTCCAAGTCAAGCCAATAAATAGATATACAAAGCGCGGGGGGGGGGTTATTTAATTTATATTAAGGCTTGCGTCTGAACAGTGAAAAATATCAGAAATACCTGTCTCCTTTTTTTTTTATTGTAAGGCGTAGTTCCCTTGTAATATGCATTTTGTTCTCTTTTTGCTTTCTTTCTGTAATTAATTCGTAAAGGGGAATCACACGTTTTCGCTCGGTGTCCGAGAATACGTGTTCTTAACACTTCCGGGTATAGGCGCGTTACTTCTTGGAGCACGTACTTAAAATGCACATTTCAAACGACTTACAGGGTGTCTGCATATCATTTACATAATGGCCTCCAACGCAATTGTAGTACTCGTAACACTGGTGTATAAAAATAGCCATTGGCTCAAGGAAAATATAAGAAAAAGCAAATGCCAGGGGCAACGTCGCCAGGTAATATATATTTTGTATGTTTGAGGAAAAGACAAATGATTCAGTGACGTCACGAAGTAGAAATCCCGTTATCAGTTTCGTATCTTTATGAGGGAGCCTCATAGGAATGATAGTCATCGAATAGATGGACTCGTACTACTAGTCGACTGCTAGTAACTTGGCTCCGTAATAACTTAATTCAGCTCGTTTTATGATGATGCTAGCCGATGACACGTATATGTCGCGCTGTATGGGGGTGGGTGGGGTGTCAACTTATTTTTTTTACAGTCTGAAAAGCGTAAATTGTATCTATTGTATATTGCCTACAAATATTGCCAAGTTCCCGAGATAACACCATGGAATCACGAGACTAGTGCTAATCGGTTCATTGTTTCCCGTTTCAATTTTAATTCAATAAAGTAAAATGTGATTGTGCTTATAACAGAGTGCCCCGAGGTGTCTTTACAGTTACTTGATAGCTATTGCACCTCCGTAGATAACAACAAATTGGCGGTGATCTCGGTCGCCATCTTCAAGTTCGGGTAATACTTTTTTTTTCATATATATGGCGACATTAAAAGTACTGGTCTCTCAAATCTCCCGCAATCTCACAAAAGCACTAAAACGTAATCGGTGTCGTTAATATGTCTTGTCAGTGTGATTTTCTGATCATGACGTAAAGGGCGGAGTTGTACACTGTGTAAACACCAAGTATTTGGCCAGTCATTCCCGTGTAATGCAGGGAAGCCCTATATCATAATACCAACTGCAGCTGCTGAAACAATTTGCTACGAGTGTGGCAAGTGCTTTTTGAGAGCACTCGTTTTCAATAGATCTTCAGTTTATTTGAGGCTTTAAAAGCCAAGCGTACCATGTGACGTACAACGCATGTACATTTCAACGGCGTGGAAAGGCAGCGCAAGTACCCTAAATCGGCACAACCCCTTCATAAACTTTGCCTATATGGAAGTCCCACTGTATTGTTCGCTTAACAAAGGGACCCTGGGTCAAGAAGGAGACATACATATAACTAAAAACGCAGCTATATAACTTCAATGATTGAAAAGTTGACCATATTTCTTCCCAGTATGTACTGTCGCACAAGGTGGCGAAAAACAACTAGAATAGGGGGGCTGTTGCGTATCAATCACGCCGGTAAAACCGCCGCCTTCGTGCACAGTAACCGCCCATTCGTGTCCTTCTCTTCGACCCATTTCCTACTATGTGGAACCAACACTTGGCTTTTCTTTTCATCGACACACGTTATCGACCCCAGAGCGCACGGTTTGTATTTTTCATAATGTGGTTCCTCGAGTAAACAATAACAAAAGCTAGCAAGCTGCTCGGCGAAAATTAATGACCTCATTTAAATATTCAGTCTATTGTGGAGTAGTCATTGACGACTGAATGGATAAGTAGGAAATAGCCAATCAGCGCTGGCGACCGAGCGATTCATGCCAGTGTGGGTGTCAATCAAGTGAGTGATTAGCCAATGAGCAGGCCGATCGGGGTCACATCTTTCATCGCCGTGATGTATCTGGCGGCAAAGTAAAGTGGAGAGAGTTTCTACATAGGTGCAGTTTTGCAATTCAGATCAGTGCTGTGCTAACGAACTGAGATGGCTACAACAACGTCAACGCCGTACAACCCCATCAGTACGGTGGCTACCTGCACGACGTCAACATCGGACACCATGCAGAGCCACATATCTCAAACCATGTATCAGCGAGACTCACCGAAAATCGCCACTGATTTTATGGCGGCACCATCCAGCATAGGTAACAGTCACCCACTTAGTCATCCAGCCGGACCTCAATGGGTAGGTCTCACTGCACATTCTGAACCCAGTCCATGGCCGCTCCATGCGTCTATGTTGAGTCAAGATGTGAAAGGGACGGTAATACAGGGTAGAGATGATATGCAGACGCAGATACCTCACCGAACAACACATCACCATCATAACCAAGCTCCACATCCCGGTGCATGGAATACGCCTGTTACGACGACTCATATGTCGATGGGCACTACCGGCTCTGTGCTCAGTCACCACCCCCACGTTGGGTATGCAATGAACGGCATGATGAGCCCAGTAACACAACTAGGAGCCCACCTGAGGGATAACCCCCACAATGGGGAACACCATGAACATCACGATTTATCGGACGACGACACACCATCGTCAGACGATCTCGAGCAGTTTGCCAAACAGTTTAAACAGCGACGCATCAAGCTGGGTTTTACGCAAGCAGACGTCGGACTCGCCCTAGGTACCTTGTACGGCAACGTATTCAGCCAAACTACTATTTGTCGCTTTGAAGCGCTACAACTTAGCTTCAAGAACATGTGCAAGTTAAAACCTCTCCTACAAAAGTGGCTTGAGGAAGCAGATTCAACGACAGGGTCGCCGACGAGTATCGACAAAATTGCTGCACAGGGCCGTAAACGTAAAAAACGCACGAGTATTGAAGTGACTGTGAAAGGGGCATTAGAAAATCATTTCATCAAACAGCCCAAACCGGCGGCTCCAGAGATAACTCAGTTAGCGGAGAGCCTACAACTAGAAAAAGAAGTCGTTCGAGTGTGGTTTTGCAACCGACGGCAGAAAGAAAAACGTATGACCCCACCGGTGTCAATGGGAAGTCCCGGCCATCTCGAGCAACTAGGAAGTATGCCAAAACACGACTCGCCCGAGATGAGAGAAATCCACATAGCACATTCGTCACCCAGCCTGCCACAATCTACGATGTCGCTAGCGCATTCGTCACCGAGCCTGCCACAGTCAACAATGTCAATGTCAATGTCGCTTGCTAACTCGTCCCCACCGCCAGGGATTGTTATCGGCGTGTCGCAGGCAGCCCAATGACTGTGAAAACACTGAACATTGACTGTGAGTATCTACACACAAACAAACCTCAGCCAGTTCTTAGTGTATAGCCATTCTATCCATAGCTTTGAGCTAGTAGTCTTTATTGACTGAATTCCATTCTCTCTCGGTGTGTGTATGTATATTGAGTTTTTACTTTGGGACAATACCGACAGACTCAATATGCGGGGAACAGCACTGCTATTCACACACAGAAAAAAAAAACACGTTAGACCATGCAGTATTAGGTACCATTATCATAGACACTATCCTTTTTAAACCGCTGCATGCAGCTCAACATTTCGAACACTGGCATTTATTACAACCCACCAAAGCTGCTTGCAGCGAAATACCAGTTGCAAGACAAGCGAACGACGTTTATCTTCGCGACAAGGGAGAGAGAGAGAGAGAGGGGGGAGAGGAAGAGAGGAGTGAGAAAGACAAAAGTTTGGAATTTCATGTATGTTTCAATTTTGTATACCAAGCCAATAGTGTAAGTTTCTTTTTGTGTACATGTCTGTCAATTTTATCGTATGTCTCGCTATCAAATGCACATTTTTCGTCATTCGCTGGTCAAATTGATCAAATTAAGAGATACTTTTATTTTCCTGAGGAGGAAACACACACGATGGCATTGCCAAAGTTGTCATATGTATATTAACTAGACATTATGCAGGTCACTTTTTTTCAACAATTCTTCCATGTCAAGACCAGGGTAAATTATGTTATACATCAAATTATTCACAGAAAAACAAACGGGTTGTTTCAAACGATTTGTGTTAGGGTTAAGGGGAGGGGGAAACAAGGGCGGGGATATTTGGGTACTTTTTTCGTCTACATCTACCCCACCATCATTTGCATACGTTTAGCTCTGTTTAGCATTGCGTTCCCGACTCCTCTTTTTTCGGTTAATGTATATATACGCACCTTGATCACTTACACCCCAATACCCACTCCTTGATTTGCAATATATTTTTTTTTTGCCTTCTTGTACAGTTGCTTGATCAACGAGCCATGGTTTCGGTTTCTCGTCGAAAATATAGTGTTGAATATATTTTCTATTTTTATTTTCTCGATTTTATTTACTAGACAATCGTATCCTCGTTGTAACAGTATATTGTCAGTTTCCTTAGAGCTTTATTTATCATCATGTCTTGTATATGCCTACAAAATTGGACGTTATTGCACTTTCAGAAAAAAAGAACTATATTTTATATTAACTGCAAAGAAAACATTTTCAGAAAGAAGACAGTTTTACCGCCAAGATTTTGTTGTAATTTCAAAAAGTCTTGTCAGATTGTTCTTAGCAATTAGCCACACTATCAATTTATCATTGTACCACAAAAGAAATCGTAACGAAAATAAATACGTTTTTTTGGAAGAGAAAGAATATTTTTTTCATATTGATTTCGGGAATTCCCTTCGCATTAATTGGGGGTGTTGTTTCTGTGTTTGTTGCTGCTACGTTTGTTTTCAACCAAACCCCGAGTTGGTTAATTAAAACCCGAAACACGCTGACAACTGAGTCGTTTCGGAATTGGGGCAAGGACTCCTCGCGGCATTGCAGCAACAAAACAACCCAACACCTCGGTTATAAATAAACGTTGTTTGTACTGTCATTTTCCTCTTCTTCCGCGTTTGCCCTGATGCCTTTTCCAATGAGCTTGTCAGCTGTCACGAGTGGGGAATGCGTTCTCTCGCGTCGCAACCCTTCATTGTTGTTGTACAATTTACATAAGTCGAAAGTTGCCTCTTGCCGCAAATTACTAAGATCACAAACCAGCAAATGCATATTACAATGGGTGCGGGGGAAACGACACAAAACTACAGCTGCTGCTGTAAAGGTAGACTTCTTACAACGTATTAGTTGGTGCCCACAACCATCGGCCATTTTCCTCGGGGTTCCTTCATGCCCTCTATCTGACCTACCATTGATTTCTCGCGCAAAAAATGAGCTTATTTGCTTAATAATATACTGCCGTCACCTAGTCAAATACTTTCAGAATCCGGGATCGCCCCATTCTATTTTTGAACTCTTTTATTTACATGGCCATTAAGACTTGCACCATCCCGCGATGTGTTGTTAACGTCCACCCATAAAACACAAATGTTACAGTTTTTACTGTTGATTCGGGATGGCCATTAATACTTAAATATAATACTCATCTGTTCGTTAATGCTAATCCTTATAAATATCCCCGGTTTTGTTTCAGGTCAAAGTGGAGACACAAGTTATCTTCTAAATTTTGTTTGCCTATTCAGAAAATAACAATTGTTCGTTCCCACAGTTCTCGTGCATTTTTAAACAATTAATTTTGTTTTAGTTTAATTAAATCGAACGTGTTAATTGTTTTCAGCGGCTTGTAGCCGATTCACATTTCCACCTCTTTTTGCAACGTCACACAGCCATATGGGCATTTTCACTCGCATTACGTTTGGAAAAAAAAACATGAACATTGTCGTACGATTCACGATTTGTGACGACTGTGTGTCCGTTCAGCCGACAGTTGTACAACCTATTTTTTTAAGTTTGGTATAAGCATCATTAGTCTGTATTATAATGTTAGGCCTAAGCCACGGCACTGTATTAACAACTAGCACGAGGACACCTTTACTGTGTTAAAATATAGTGAATTACAAAAGGCCCCCGAGTTGACAAGCGAGGTGATTTTATCGCACTGGAGACACGTGATAATAACATCGTATAATTTTCATCAATGACATAAATTTTAATATCATTTCGATTGTTTGTCCAGCCTGGGATGTAAAATATGGTTGGATTTTACGTCACATTTCGTAGTCTCTATATATGTCTAAGGCAAATAAGAAAACTCACTGAAAGAGGCCCCTATTTTTATACTGCCTGAACACCGTCAACGAAGGTGGTTTACACCTGTCAGTGGGAGTCCCGATCTTCATATTTTAATCTATCTTTAAAAGTGTGTCATGCATCGTCGTCACCGGGGGAGTGTTCCGCATTCACTGCCTATCGACATGTTATCCATTGGAAACATAAAATGCCCGTTGTTTTTTGTGTGCAGCCTACCCTCGCCTTAGACTTTTTTTCCCGTCGTTTGCTGTTTGGTTGAATTCTCGAACGTGGATATTACGAATCAATGTCCCGCGAACCGATCTTCTTAATTGAATTAGCAAACATCGAGATGATGGCTATGAAAACAGCAGTGCTAAACACGCCGCTAGCCAGCCACCAACCTGGCTAATTATCTTGCAATTGTTCAGTGATTCACGACTGTGTACGAATACAGCTCAACAAAATAACAATCAAAGCCGTGTTTAATTTCACTGCCACATTTTATCGTCTGCGCCCCCAAAATACGTTTCTATTTTCACAATATTTTCAGTGAAACCAGGTTGCTAAAATAGCTTCACGCGCAAAAAAACACATCCACGGTTAGTTTGAGGGTCAAAACATTTCGTGTTTCGTTGACAAATCGATCAAAATTTACTGTGAATCTGACGAGTGTGTGACCTATGCTATAGTAGTGATTCAACATTAGCATGTGTGCGTTCAGTTGTAAATACATTTGAACAATACATTTCGAAAGCTGCCCCGTAACCTTTCCGTTCTGCCTCTCCGCCATCATTTGACCAAGGTGACTCATTTTCGTTTTTGATCATACATGTTATCTTTTCCTGTCTCAATTCTTTCACTCCAGATGTCGGACAGAATGGGGACGATCGCTGTGAGCTTACAGTGGTCGGTCAATGACAGATAAAATAGAAATGAAATTAATATTTATATGCATTATTTATTTGTATATTATTTCGCAGCGTCCACAAAATTACGTCTAAAGAAAATAGCTCGCGTCTGAATTAAGGCTGCCGAAATTTAAACGCGCTGTAAATTGAACACACCTTTAGCAAAAAAATCTCCACGTTTTACGCCACATTCCTATGCGTTTTACGGTAATGATTATAATAACCGTTTATAGACGGAGTGTCCCCACTCACCAATGTAGTCTATGAAATATTAATTCCATTACCGATACAATGCACCCTAGACCGACTCTGCATAGTCTTTGGTGTTATTGTTTTGATTATGTGTGTGCCATGTACACGTGAGTCTCGGCCATGCATTATGCAAGACCGAGTCTCTCTCTCAGTCAGTGCAAGCTCGTGTTTGTCATTACGTATCGACAGGACACGTATGAACATTTTTTTTGTTTCAGAGGCCAAGACGGGTTATTCACGGAAGCGAAGGTAGCAGTGGCTGTCGAGCGAACGAGCCGTATTGTTTTTCACTGTGCCGAAACATGTCACTAGAGGTCAACGATCACAGGCTATCAAAATGAAAAGTGGTAGGGTGACTATCTTGGGTGTGAACGACAAAGTGACGTACTAGGGCATGGCAGCTGCCGAGAGATTGTTCGAGCTCACTCGGTTATAAAATACAATGTAAATATCCGACTGAAGGTGACAGTCCTGTATATTTTGGGCTAATTCCTTAGAAATTTGGTATTTTTAGTCACGTACGCTTCAGGAACTTGTTTCTGCATTCTGCTGTTTGAGTTTCAGAAATGGTGTAGTGAACTGTTCACTCAGGTATTGAACACATTATAACAACATGGCGTCACCACGGCTGGCTGCTTGCCCCGGGGGACCGGACAGTACAGCCATATTGTGAAGACGGCAAGGAAATAGGGGCGAAACAACTACACAACTGGATGTTTAGTTTAGTCCTTGCAACAGTTCGGTGTGCACTAGCAGAATTCGGAACCCCCACCCAACACGCGAATCACAAACAGACAAGCACGCATGGAACTCAAATACGCATGCGCAGGAGGTGATTTTTTTTTTGCTAAACCATATGATGCGACTTTTAAAATGATGTTTTAGTTGAAAAGTTGAAATGCACAGAATAGTTCCTCTCTCTTGTAATGATTAAGAGGAACACTTCCTTGTACAGTATAATATATGCGAAATGGCGGACTCGGAAAGGGCAGCTGCCTCTAGTACACAGACACGCACAAAAAGAACGTTGTCGAAATTACTGTAAAAAGGGACAGCAAGCACTCATGATTTAGAGTACACAATTGTAGCACTACAAATTTGTTAGAATGCCTGGGAGTCAAGTTCTGCCAAAATAGCCTAATCCCTTGTCTGATTTGTCATCCAAGTGGTTTTTAGCTCGTGGGCTCTACGTCGAATATCATTCTGCGTATTGTAATGACGTTATGTCTGGTTGTTTTCAGCTTCCAATCTGTTTCCCTTGGACTCAAAACGACATTATATGAGCGTCGTCGAACGTTGCCGCACGTACTTGCAAAGAGCGGCTGTGTCCAGCCAGCCACCTTTTTATTTTCTGCTCTCCGCTCACAAATCACACGAACGTGTGGGCTCGTATCTGTCACTTCTCGTCTCCTCTGTGTTCTTGCAATTGTGGTGATTCGCGCGGAAAAAAATTGACAAATACAACTTTAAATTTGGGTTGTTTGAAGCACTAAATGGGCTCTTGTGTGCGTGTAGATTAGACTTCTAAAAGAACACTGCTTCGCATTTAGCGTATATTTGACCGACCTTGTAATTCTGTCGGTGGCTGCCATAATATCTGAAAATTGGGCGTGCGAATACAATAAAGCGAGACGGACGCCTTTGTATGCCAAAGTGTCTTGTATTGTTGTTTTTGTATATTCAGTATATAGTGCACAATTTGGCCATGTTATCATACTAAAGACATTTGCCCATCGTCTTAATCAAACACTCGGCAGTCGCCAGCCAAATAAAACCTTGCTTAGTGGAGGGTAATCCCTGCACACAGGCGTTAACATTTTCGATGCTTTTTTTTCTTTTTTAAGTTGGAGCAGACACGGATTATTCCCCCCAAAACAACCTGTGCAGAGAAATATTCAAGGTTGGATGTAATCCCGTTTAAACCACGCGAGATGTGCCGTGGATTGCAAAATATATCTCCCCACGGACGTGCTGCCACGTGAATGAATGGACGGACCGTCACGTGATCACTGACACAACATCAAAAGTTATAAATACATAATTCAGCGTTACATAATAAGCGTTGTATGAAAATGAATAAAAAAACAAATTTGCGTGATCAAGCGGGTATCATGTAATTGTTACGCATTTAGCCACTGGCATCCACACAGTAAGAAGATCATTAGAATATATAGAATTTCTGTTCACCATTTTTTTTCATCTGACACCTATAAATTAATATACTTGATAGATCAGCGGGAAACGGAATACCATGTGATAACAAATTGGATGAATTGAATGGATGAAAACGTGGTATATGTTCCACTGTTAATTATGCTATTTGGTAAAAAATTATGTTAGAAAATGTAAGGGAATGTGTGTCTTAATCTAGGTGCGTAGTGTCAGAGCGCATCTTCTTTCGCCCGACTGAACTTC